CTTTACATACAATAACATGTGACATGTCAGTAGTGGCACGAAATTTCAATTTATTTTTCCAAATTTTCTATAAAAGAGCAAAAACAGTAAATAGCATCACAGAAATTTCATGGTAGTAATAACCAATTTTATTGAAATAGCATTAGTATAACTTTTTTGTTGCATAAAAAATAATTAGACCTCATCCTTACCTCTATCTTCCTTCTAAAAAATAGAAGATATGCTCAATAAAAACTGCTAGAAAAAAATAAAGCCAAAAGAAAAACTAAAACAAACAAAATGTAAACAATTTAAAAAATTAAAAGGAGTGATCCTTTTTACTTTATTTTTAATAAAAAATATTATATATAAATTGCGAAACAATTTTCAATGCTTAAATGATCTTAACGATGATTATTATAATATGGTCTTAACGATGATTATTTATCTTAATATGATTCTTTATGTAATATTTCTAAACTAATCTTAATATTAATTCAATTCTAAAGGTAAAAAGTTTTAACTCGGTTGAAAGATCTTCCTCTAACAACCGCGTGCATTTTGAGAACGCGCTGTTTCAAGTTCAGAAAAGCTTAGTAACTAATTAAAACTGCTTTAAAAACGAAAGCGAAACGACATTGAACATTGAACATTGAATTTTTACAGTATTTATATTTAGAGATGTAAAACACTGATTTACATTTTTATTTACAAACAATTATTCTTTCCTCAAAAGTGTTGCAAATGCAGATTAAGCTAACTAATTAGTTAAATATGTAAATAAAACATAAGTAAATCAATATTTGACAAATGCGCAAAACTACAGTATTCTCCATGTTTTTAAAAGTTTTTAGTTATGACCCCCCCTTTACAAAGATCCCCTAAGATACGTACAACAAATTATTAGGCATAAAATTAAAAAAAAAAAAACTGAACTAATTGCATATATTTATGTTTTTACCTAACAAAAACTTACAAAAGGAAATCAGGTTTTTTTTATAAATCTTATAACGTCATATGTGTCATAACGTAAATCTAAAATAAAAAGTAATGGAATTACATCATAATTACAAAAAAAACACCAAATTTCAAAATAAGTAACTATAAATTGGTAAATCGATTTACCTATTTATAGTTACTTTAATTGCAGTTAATATAAACTTTTATCAAAAATGTAACTATAAAATCTGTTTTGAAGTACAAAAGGATTAACAAAAAAAAAATCAAACTAAGATTTAAATTGCACTTTTAGCAAAATGTTGTCTTTGTTTTTAGTAAATAAATAAAAGCAGTAAATTCCAATGAAACTACCTATGATTCATTTTTAACAATAGACGCCAACGGGAAGGTAAGCCAAGCTGTCTATCAACACAAAACATCACAACAGTAACATTACAGCAATAACACATAGCAATAAAATCCAGTGAAAATAACAAACTAAATTAAAGTATGAATAGCAAAATTAAAAAAATATTTTAGAGTTATATTTATCTTTTTATTAAACTTTAAATAAGGTATATTTGCTTTTATATTCAACATTAGTTATTCAATTATTTCAAATTTAGGACATTAAAGCACGCTAGATTTAAAGATTTTGGTTGCATACTCTCTCATACACATTACGCTAAACATTAACAGACATTATCATGTGTTTTCAGAATAATTTAAAAAGGCTAGACAACACAACCTAGCTCTAAAGCAGTAACACTGCCTAGCATTAAATGCTGCAAAGTCACACCTCTGCTATAAGTACACCTCTTGGCTGGCAAGGTTATCAAACTTGCTCAACATAATACCAAGCCACACCACTTTGAAAACATAGAAACAACTCAATATAAACATATATACAGCTATAAACAAATATGACTTTATATAAGACATATAAGCACATTTTATATTAAATGACAGATATATTTATTAAAAACTATGGAAAAAAAATAATAATAATAAATAAAGTTACACATGCTCACAACCTTCAACAGTAAATTATCGAAATAAAAATCTAAAGATAATTAATTAAGAACAATAGAAAGTATAACACTATTTGTGTTCACTTTTTACCTTGATAGGATGTTTAACAATTGTGAAAAACAAACTATTAAATGCTCTAGTTTTTGAACATGCAACATATAGTTGGCTATGAGAGAAACACGATTTTTGAGATATATCTTTTGTCTATAAGTTTAATTTCGCATTATGTAATATATGGACAATCCCTAAAGTAAAATACTTGAAACTAAAAAGATTTTCTTTATTACAATATTTGAACAACCAAGGGATAACTATAGTTGAACAATTTAAAGAATTATATCTTTAAATAGCAACTCGTAAAATATATCTTATAAATGGTCATTATCAATTGTAGTATTGAAAAATGTGCAAGAGCTCAGTAATTACACGAGTTTTATCAATTCTCCCTGTACTTACTTTCATTTAAGTCTCATCTAAGAGAGAGAGGAAGTGTTACAAAAGCAGCATGTTAAAAAAAGTAAAAAAGATATGCAATAAAAAACAGTAACTGATTTTATGCTAACAATAAACAAAATTATTTTTACCTGAATTAAAAGTTAATTTCCAGCATTGGTTAATTAAGATTCAGCTTCCCTCTAACTATTGACTAATGATTAATAAAGTAAATTCCACATCATATTAAATTTACAAAATTAGAATCATGTTTCAACAGTAAGCAAAATAATCAAGTGATGATAAAGGCAACTAAAAAAAAAAAGAACAAAATTATGTTTGCAAAAAAAAAAAAAAAAAAAAAAAAAAAAAAAAAAAAAATTAAAATCATTTAAAATTGAAACTGTTATTAATTGTTACTATAAATAGTAAAATTCATACCTTGCTTTATTCTTAAGTGTCTAATGTAAAATCAAATTAATAGACATCAACACCGCTTGACAATGAATTCTGGCAAGTAAGTTTTCTGTTCATCGAGCAGAATTTCTTACATTTCAACGACAATTAATTTTATCAGGCCTAAATCTATCTCTTTCATTTGACAACAATTTTTCAAGTCACCTATTACCATTTACACTAAAAACATCTTCGAGCCTAATATTATACATCTGTTATCATTAAACACATTACCAGTGATTATACTACTGTTACAAATGAATAAATGAACGCAAAATAATTTTACAAATTGTGATCTTTTCTAATCAAAGGCTTTTATTTTAAATTAAGATTTATTGATATTCATATATTTTTATAAGTTTATATAAAGAAGTTGTTCATGAAAAATATAAAACAAAATTTTTTTACATTATTTTTAATTTAACAAAGAATTTAGACTACAATGCACAAAGTTATTTTTACCTTCAGACACAATCTTAATGCACAAAAATGATAAATGCTGAACTTTTTATAAAAAAAGAAGCAATGTCAGTCTAAAGTAATATATGTATGTATGTATGTATATATATATATATATATATATATATATATATATATATATATATATATATATATATATATATATATATATATATATATATTTATTTATTTTTTTATTTAAGATAATATTTATATAGATAGAGAAATATAAAATATACTGAAATATAGGCACATTTATGTATATAAACTTACCTGTCAAACAAATTACAGGTAAGTTTATATACATAAATGTGCCTATATTTCAGTATATTTTATATTTCTTACTCAAACTTACTCAAATCAGTAACAGTTCAACTGTCTAAAAATTTTTATTATTATTAATCCTTCTATTTAAAAAACAAACAAACAATTGATTTGAAGTGACTAAAAAGCACTTCAGCTCTTTCTAATTGTACTAAAAAAAAGAACAAATCTTGCTTCTCTAAGTTGCCTAGTTCTTAAGAATCCGAAAACAAATAAGTAAAAAACAAAAAACAAACAAACATTTATTTTTTTAAACTACTCTATTTAAACAAATTAAATTAAACAGATTAATTCTCCTTGAAAGCTGAAAAACTTTTCAGCTCTAATTTACTTGCAGACCTTGCTTGTAAAACTATCTGAATAAGAAAAGCATTTAAAAAAGCCTAGAAACTACTTAAAAAAGGTATATGCAACATTGAACTTTAAATGTTGACTGGACTAATTAGCAGCAGATATTTTTAAAAAATTCATAAAAATTTATAATGATTTCTTCTTCTATAACAAATAAATATACCATATGATAAATCTGAAGTTAAAAAATGTAACGAATAAGTAAATACGAACAAAAACATAATACGTGATTTGAAAATCAATGTACCTGATAGAGATAAGCTGTTGTGATACCTGAATTGTAGTTGTTAAATATTTTTATTTCATGATAAACAAAATGTATTTATAGCGAAATGATGTCTTGAATGACTTTTAGTAAATATATAAAAGCAGTGAGTCCTAGTAATGAAACTACCTATTAATCATTTTTAAACAACAGACACCAACATAAAGATAAGCCAAAGGTGACAAAATTAAGCAAAAAATTATCAAAGATAATGTTATGTATTTTTTAGTATAGTTATATTAAAGGCTAGACAAAACTTAGACCTAAAGCAGTAACATTGCTTGAATAGTAAGGTTGACAAATATTGCTCTACAAGTTTGCCAAGTCAAAACAACATTATAAACATATATACTAACTATAAAACACAATATACTTTTTTTATGTTATATAACATATAAATATATAAAGAATATTTTTTAATTTTCCTATTCCTAATTATTTTTCTTAAGAGAAAACATACATATAGATATAGAGAAATATAAAATCAACTGAATCATTATGATTTAAAAAGATCGATTGATGTAAAAAGAATTTAAAAACACATAAATTAAAATAACATTTTAAAAACAAAAATTCCTTACTTATATTAGATATAAATAATAAATAACTGACAATAAGATAAAAATTTACTTAAAGTTATTTGGAAATAAGTTTAAAAAAAACAATAACTCAAAAAATATATTATAGACTTAAACCTTATACTAAATAAACAAATAATTTCCTAATCACATAAACTGTTATTATTTTGTAGTAACATCTTTACTTACATTAAGATTCTTTAAACAACACAAGTTTCGGACGTCTTTATACTTAAGTAATAAGTATCCTAAAAAAAGCCAATAACTTTGTACAGTGATAATATTCCCATTGATAGTGCTCAAAAACAGCCCATTAGGTTTTATTAGGGCTTACGAATAAAAAGAAAGTGAGAATAAGCCTACAATAAAAACAATTTAAAAAAAGCCTTAATTTGAAACTCTTTCTCGTTATCTCCTAATATTGTCCATACAGGTCACACCAAAGGGAGTTTTTTTCTATATTAATGTATTGATCTTATGTGACAATCTTACCTCTTAAGTGGTTTAATTGCTCAATTTGCTGATGATACAATTATATACTCCAGTTTTTATAAAAATCATAAATATTTGAACCACTTATTTAAAGTCATCCTTAAATGCCAACACTCTTCTTCATTTCCAGTAACTTCTGCGGTATCTCAAGGTTTTATCCTTAATCCTGTTTTGTTTCTTATCTATATTAGTGATCTTCCTGGCAACCTTACATCTAAAGTGGCTTTATTTGCTGGTGACTCAACTTTATACTACTGCCTTGACAAAAATTCAATCTTGAATCTGATCTAACCTCTGTAACAGATTGAGGCTTGCATGGCTTGTGAATTTTAACTTCAACCAAACTTAGTTATTTACTACAAATAACTATATTATACAAATAGCAATACTGTTGACATTCCTATATTGATAAATAGCAAGCCCTTCACTGAGTCCTCTTCTCGGATTATCATTCACTTATGACCCTTCATGGAAACTATATATACAATTGATTGCTGAATGCAAATGCAAAAAAAAAAAAGCAGCTGCTAAAGTTGCTTCTTTTTATCGTGCTTGCCATTTTCTTACTCCCGATTTCATTTCTACCTCTGCTAACCTCTTTTTTGCCCCTGTTTGGAATAATGTTGTCATATATAGACTGGTTCTTCCAATGATGCTCTTATTTCTCAAGATAAGGTCCAAATATGCATTGTAAATGTAGTTGTGTAGTACCTGCTCTATCTGTCAAGCTAGAGCCTCTCTTTCAACGTCGTCAAGTTGCATCTCTATTCTACAAATAATAACATGGTCCCTACTTAAAGGAGCTTTCACCTTTAGTTCCATAAACTCATTTTTGCTTGACTCGTCATTTAGCAAAGTCTCACCTCTTTACTGTATCTGTCCCTGTATGCCATAAAAAATTTTATGTTTAGTTTTTTCCCCTTAATTGAACCCTTTGGAACTTTCTCCCGTAATCATGTTTTTCTAACTCATACAGCCTACAAATTTTCAAGTCTTGTGTCAACCGAATTGTTACTCTTTAACTCTATTCTTTATTTTCTAATAACTTAACAGTTATTAGAACTTTAAAATAACAAAAATGTGTCAACTCTGAATGTAACAAATACATTATAAACAAATTTAAAATAACAAAAATGTGTCAACTCTGAATGTAACAAATACATTATAAACATTTGCAGCCACTTGTTAAAAGAACACACAAGACTTATTTGGTGTACAACTTATATAATTAGACACCAAAAGCATATGAATACAAATAATTTTATTTGATAGGAAAAACTTTTTATTTGATCTTATTGGACACACATTATTTTGAAATATTTCTTTTAAGGCAATGATCTCTAATCTTCTTTGCATTTTATCAACACTTTTAAGAAGGCCAGAATTGTATAAAAGCTGGCATACCAAATAAAGATAGATGGATATCAAAAGGTAGATAGGTGCTAATGGTAGAAAGATATCACAACAAAGTAATACAAAAAAAAATCTTGAAAAATCATTAACGAATTCATCAAAGCTAAATTCTTTAAACTTTTTCTTGGAATCAATTACTGAAATGGCATTGACAACTTTTCTATGCAAACAATTACACTTTTTAACTACAGTGGGTTGCCAAATTATTAGGGACACTTTACTTTTTAAGTAATTTTAAAGTACAAACTACTTTAATGAATAAATATGTATCTTATTGTTATTTTTTTATTGGTAGAGAGTTTTATTTAGAATATAAAACAACATAATTACTTATTCATTGCTATTTATTTTTTTATAAAAAGTTTGAAAACATGACAAATAAGGTAATAATCTTAATATTTTGTAATGCCACCCTTAGCTACAATAACAGCTTTCAGGCATCTGGGCATGCTATCTATGTAGACTTCTGAATTGTGTTGGAGACTGAGGTTGCTATTCCACTCTCTTATTAGGGTTTCTATCAATTGCTGCTTGGTAGTGATAATTTTTTTTGGCAATTTTCTGTTTTATGAACTGTCATAAATTTTCTACAGGGTTAATATCAGGTGAATTCCCTGGCCATGGCAAAACATGCACTTTTTTTTCAGTTAGGAATGCTGTAACACTTCTAGCTTTATGGGACGGTGCTGAGTCATGCATGAACATATACTCTTCATTACCAGGGAACCATTCTTAGACCTGGAGCAGTAGCCTGTTTTCCAGTAATTGCTTGTAAGAAGGAACCATATGGCAGGACCAATCCTGCTTCATGGTTCCTTCCACAATGTAAAGGCAGCCCATACCCTTGGCTGAGATCACAGACCACACCCCTACACTCACAGGATGTTGAACCTTTTCCAAAAGGCAGTCCTAGTGAAATTTTTTTCTGGGCATCGTCGAACAAATGAGCTTTTGTCCATCAAAATTTGAAATGCTGATTGGCCCAAGAAGCAGACCTGTAAAACATTTTAAAGATATTTGACCTGCAAAATATATCAAAGATATTTCAAAAATAAATATTTATCCTTAAATTTTTCTGGTCTCTTACAATATTATAAATTATATTTACTCTACTCCGGTCTTCAATAGTCATATTCTGGTGTTTTCTAGCCCATTCCAGTCGCTTTTTTTTCATGGCTTCAGTTAAACATTCTTTTTTTGGTTGGACGATAGCACACTAAATTCTCTTCAACCAACTGTCCCTGAACCGTCCTTTTGGAGACGTTAATTCCTTCATTGTTTATAATTATAGCTAGTTGAGCCACACTTTTTTTTCTGTTTTCAAGACAGATGTCTTTAAATTTACGGTCATAACATGGAGTAGTGATCCTTTACTGCCACTTTGGCTGACGTGGTCTGGTTCTAGAGTCACATTTGTACCATTTTTTTTTTTAAATTTGACTCACTACTGACTTTGAAACGCTTGCAACCTCTCTCTGAGAATGTGTAGAATGAAGAAGTAAGGTTTTTACTTTTCTGTTTTTTTTTGGGGGTTAAGTCTGGAGACTAAAAAAATTAACGAGAGGTAAGAATAGTTGAATGTCAGGGATTTATGCATTAAAAGTAGCAAAAATACTAAATTAATAACTAAACTAATTGAACTATTAACGAATATTTAGGTTTCAATAGTTTTAAACTCAAAAAACTTGCAAAAACTTGTTCCAAAAATAAGTAACTGAAATCAATTTTGAATTTTTGACTTTCAACCACACTTTTCAAAAATTGACAGCTAATTGAGTAATAACCTAACTTTTTGACAGATCGGGTTATCATAAATTGCCACAGTTTAAAAACAACTATAGTTATATTAGTGACTAAAATACACTAAAAACTTTTTATTTAAAAAAAATTATTTGCTTGCAAAAATCATTTAAACTTTAAAATTACTTAAAAAGTGAAGTGTCCCAAATAATTTGGCAACCCACTGTATATGGTTTGTAAAAAAATTGGTCTCAACAAAAAGTTTTTAACAAAATGTCTTCTCGACCTTTGATTGTGGCCTCTGTAAGCCTACCCAATACTTGTGGAACGCAGTTCTAATTGATAATATCATGGTTGTTTATAAGTTCAAACATTTTAATGAGATCGCTGTTTTCTCTTCTATTTGATAGATTTTGTAAGCCTATTTCTTTTAATCTTTGCTCGTAACTTGCTCCCTTTCTTTTGTAGCCAATTTTTGCAGCTTTTTGTTGGACTTTTTCGATAAAATTTATATCTTTATTAAAATATGAATTCCATATTTAAGATGCATATTCCAAGAAGTATTTAAAATATTTTGAAAATTTAGAAAATAACTCAATTAGAAAAAAAAAAAAAAAAATCACACAGTTTGATCTAGACATCTTATTTAACTGGAAAAAAAAAAGGCTAATCAGTTTTAATAAGGATAAATGTGAAATCATGCAATTTGATCTAAAATAAAGTACACTTTAATATATATAATGCTACAGAAACAGATATCATTTTATTTTACAATAGTACAAGCTTCCTTCTTCCTACTTCCAATGAGATATATTATTGATTGCTAGTAAAAATGATTGATAGATCAGTTCTCTTCATTGATACACTTAATAGCTTCAGCAGACTGTGAAAATCAGTGGAGAGTTTTAGAGTGGGCATGGGGGTAGTTGCCCCCGCCCCCCATTGGGATTGACTATTATAGGTAATTGACTATTATAGGTAATTATACATATATGAACTTGATTATTACACTAAAGTACAAAAAGTTAAAGAAAGTCACTTTTAAGTGAAAAAATGCGGACCTTTTTTTTTAAAAACCATTTTAGCCACCTCCGTGGTGAGTGACAAAACCCACCCCTGGTGAAAATATTGAAGTTTGTATGAACAATATTACATATATTAGGAATAGTACAAGAACATACTGAGTATATAACAAAACCATCAGTAGGAGCAGGCATTTAAATTTAAGGCCTCAAGTAATCTGGATCAAGATACTAAATATGATATACTAAATATACTGAACACAAGAAAGTTTATACATATTTTAAAGAATATTAAATCTAAAGTTCCTAAACAACAGCAATAAAAATAGCAATTAAGATTTACTACAACTTTATTGATGTTGGTTTAAATAAATGGAAACATATTAATATAAATGTTAAAATTTAATAAATGTTATATGACAAAACAAGTTAAATAACATGTCTGAAATAATAAACCAACTTTAAGATGTTTAAAACAGGCAAACAAGAAATGAAAATTAATTTGGATAACTCTTTAATGTTTTTTTCTTTTAAAATCTATTGTTTAACTTTATCTACACAAAAAAGGAAAAAAGAAATCTTACATCTCTAGTAAAATGACCAGTATGAGAACTTTTTGAAGGAAAGCAAACTGGAAACACTCTTTCCCTTACTACTTTATTTCTTGACAAAGCATCTTTAATACGGTTTGAGAATTGCACTCTTCTAAATTTAGTATCCTCAGCAATCTAAAACAAAGTTTATTTTAAAAAGAATTAGCATAAATTAATTGGTTATATTTTAAGTTGATGCATGTATGTCTTGAATAGTTAATATAGGACTGACTTAAATCTCATTTCAATAATATAAATTAAACAAACAATGAAATAAAACCTTAAAACTTGGGAACTTTTAAACTTTCTAAATTTTTGTTTGAAAACTACAGTTAAATTTCTTGGTGACCAAGAAATTCAAATATAGCAAATAGCTTTTTGAAAAACTGTGATCTGATACCTATTAAGAAAATTAGACAAAAGAACAAAAATAAAAGGTTTAGACATATAATCATTAAATACAGGAGCTATTTTAGAAACAAATTGATAAAGAAAAACATATTATAATAATAATTGAATTTTATAAAATTCTTTAGAAGAGGCTTTTCTATCATTCCCCTGCATACAATCAAGCACTTTACATCCTAAAACCATAAAGGGAGTACCATTAAATGATATTGAATCATCTTATTTTGTGGTGTTTTGCAGAAGAATCTTTAAAGATAACAACAACAACAAAAATTTTAAATAATAACTATACAAATATAAAAGAAAATTAAAATTTAGCAATTGCATTTTAAAAACACTCAATTAAAATTGTCATACCATATTTCCAGTTTTTAGCAGCACTAATAGTGCAGCTAAAGGAAAGGAAAGAAGGAAGTTGGCTTACTGTAGAAACATACGTTGAAGTACTTTTTTTGATACATAGCTACGAAACAGAGGCTGTATCAAAGTTTTCATGGCATGAAAACTTTGACACAAAAAAGTACTTCAACGTATGTTTCTACAGTAACCCAACTTCCTTCTTGAGAAATAACAACTAAAAAAATTTAAACAGTAACAACCATACAAACGTGGAAATTGATACTTCATTTAAGGCGTGCTTGTAGAGGAAATTCCTTTTTAGACAAAATATTTTAAATTATGAATATAAAAAGCTTATATTATATTACTCGTTTAAAAACATTCGGAATGTTTTTAAATTTTTAAATTTCTCAGGGATGTCATTCCTGAGAAATGTTTTTAAACGAGTAGTAAAACAAACATCAACTTAAGCTTTTTATATTCAAAATTTAAAATATTTTGTCTAAAAAAGTTAAAATGTCTTGTATTACCTCTACTCAATGTTGTTTTTTCTAATAAATTTAAATTATTATTATCTATAATAATAATAATTTTTTTACCAATTTAAATTTAATCTTCGACGATAACCAGGTGAATACGTGCTCCACATTTAAAGAATATTAATTATTTCATAAATAAAATTATAAATGCAAAAATTAATTATGTTAACTCTGTCCTGGACGTGAAGCGGGACAATTGCGGAACATTATACGGGACCTAACTTTACGCTATGGAATCATGTACTTACCGTTTTAATTATATTGTTTATAATTGAATGTTTCGGACGTATTTGATACACTTCTAAGTGCAATGACTTGAACGCGCAATCTCGTTTTTGTTTTTTCAATGGGGGATGTGATATTTTAGGCGGATGTAATATTTTATTACAGATGTCTAAATCTTTGAAATTGTTAGAACTTTGTTATTGATATAGCAATACTATACTAATAGTATATCAAGTATATATATACATAGTATAGCATATATTCAGTTTTAAACCGTTTCTTTTATTATCTGTAAAAATTTTATTACCTGTATCAATATTACCACAATTTTCAATTGTTAACAAAAACAAAAATTAGATGGAACGTGTCTATTAGTTGTTGTAAAAAGACTTTTTTTGTAATTGAAAAAAAACTTTATTAAAAATGCGTTACTTGAAACTTTTGAGAAGTTGTAGCGCTTTCGTGATTTAACTGATTTTTTTTAATTTAATAAAGCATTCTGGATATTTTTTAAACGAAAAAATTATTGGACGCAAAAAAGACGTTCAAAAGACCTTTAGAATTTTAATGGGACGGACGGACGCGATTTGAACGTCCTAAGGACGTCTTTTTTACGTCCTGTGCCCACTGGGTTGCCTGCATGAATTTTCAGTTTGCAAATATAACAATTTGAAATAAATATTAAAATAAAAAGTTCATAAATTTGTCATCTGGTCACGTGACCGGGGCAAGATGACTTATTATGCAATTTTTACCTCCAATTTTATAAAATTTTAAAAACTGCCAATAACTCTAATTAAAGTAACAAAAAATAAACACAAATTGCAAAAACTACTTCTAAAGAAGTTAAACTTGAAGGACACCAACCATTATGAGAAACCGAAAGTGAGGAATTTTTTTTTAAGCAAACTTGTATAAAATGGTGTTAATAATATTTCAAAAAAACAATTGGTGTTTTAAAATACAAGATGCAAATACAGTTTCGTTTTCACCCAATTTTTAAATTTTTTGTTGAGTTGTTATATGAAAACTCATCTTGCCCCATTCGCCATGTTGCCCCGCTTTCCCCTATATCTGTAATTAGATAACTTTGAGATATCATCATCTTTAAATACTGGAACTTAGTTATTGGAACTACTCTAGCTAGTTTTAAGAGATCAAGTAAAACTCCATTTTTAGATGAAAGATTAAAAATAATTAGAAAGAGGTACTTAATAATATCAAAAACTTTTTTAAAACCTAAGGGCTTATACCATCAAGGCCTGCGCTTTTGTTTGGTTTTATTATATTAAAAGCAAACCGAAGTTCATCAGGCAATACCTTAAGCTCATCTATTACATAGTCTTTTTCTTTTAGATATGATTAAAAAAATTTTTTTCCTGGTGTTAATTTGTTTGCTTGGTTTTTACCCACGTTTATTAAAAAGTTATTGAAACTGTTTGCAATATCTTTTTTCTCATTATTTATTGATCTTTCGTCCTCAGTATATAAATATTTCGGTAAATAATTACTAGAGTTTTTATTTCTTTTCCTATCACTTCCTTTATTATATCCCAAGTATTTTTGTTATTTCCGAAATTATTTTGTAATAAATTTGAGAAATAATTTTTTTTAACGTTTTCAAACAGGTTTTTGTAAGTTTTATATTTTTTTCGTTTTGATAAGTTTTTTTTTTTTTTTTTTTTCATATAGTTTTAGTTTCTTCTAAGAAGATTTAATAAGTTCTTTTGTAATCCGTGGACTTTGTAGACTTTTAAGCTTGTTTTTAATTTCTTTCATCGGAAACGCTTTGTCGTACGTATTAAAAAACTCGTTGTAAAAAAAATTCATAGGCTTCATTTGTATCTTTACAACTATGCAGTTGTTTCCAGTTTACTTTGAGTAAATAATTTCTAAATTCTTTAAATTAAATTCAGTAATCTGCCTTTTTATTTCTGTTAGTACTTTGCTTTTCTTTTTTATAAAAATCAGATATAAAAAAAAATTGGAAAGTGGTCGCTTATATCGCTTTTTATGATTCCGCTTTGAATGTCGCATGATCTAAAAATGTTAGTAAAAATATTATCAATGAGAGATTCAGTTAGAAGAGTTACACGAGTAGGCTTGTTTGTTAAGGGAAGAATGTTGCATTGAAAAAGAGAGTTTATAAAACGTTTTACATCGTTATTAGTTTTAACATTAAGAAGATTTAAATTAAAATCCCCCGTGATGTAAATTTGTTTATTTTTTACTTTTTTAAAGTACCATTTTAAGTGTTCTTGAAAAGATTTTTTATTTCCACATGGTGGTCTATACAAAGCAGTTACTAAAACGTTTTTTTTAATCGTGGTTTAATAATTCGATAGCTAATGATTCATAATCCGGATTTTAAATGCTGAGAATTTCTATTTTCTGATAATGGATTGACTCGTGTGATAAACTCATTATTTTAAAAACATTTTTAAAATAATGATTTTATCATACCTGACAATAACGTTTTCTCCGTTTGATTTTCTTTCTTTCGCTTCAGTTAATAACTTCTTACGGAGGTTTTCCGTCTCTTGCGTCTCTTCATTACGTAGATGTTTAGTCCTTTTAGTTTTTTTGTTTCTTTTAGGATGTTTGATTTGTCTTTGAACCTCAATAATTTTAATATAATGGTTCGAGATTGGGCTTCTTTTTTAAAACCTACTTGATGCACTCTTTCAATTTCAACTCCTTTAACTCCTAATTTATTGCGTAACAAATTTTGAACCTTTTCTTCACTTTTATCCCAGCTTTCATTTGCATTTTAAGGAACTCCATTTGCCCTTAAATTATTTCTCCTCAACCTGTCTTCGGAGATTCTGCATTTTTAGTTTAAAATATTAGAAATATATTGGTTTTTCAAATATTAAAATATTTGGGGTTGGGTTTTTTCTTTCTGTAAAAATTACGTCTGCTCACCGCGGCGGTCAAATAAAAAATGAAATCGATCAAAATTCTCTCCATTCATCTTGTTTTTCTGATTCATATAGGGTAGATTAGGTTAATATGAGCACCTTAAGCGAAAACTGGAATATTTTCAAAAATAATAATGCTGGATCCAAAGTTTTTGCAAATAAACAATTTTTAGGGATCCCTACTCATGATCCACTTAGATATTTGGGCACCCGAAATTTTTTCTTAAAAACACAGAAGTTTTAAAAAAGTAGGAAAAGTGCTCATATTACCCAAACCACTTGGTAATACGAGCAATTTAAATTAGCTTAAAAAAATAACATTAATTAAGTAATAAAATACAAACCTGACAAAAAGATCTAATTTTTGGAAGATAATGATTCGTTATTAATAAAACTTATTATTAAAAGATCAAATTTTGAACCACTTTTTGTTAAAAAAATATTACTATGTTTTCCGGAAAAAAAAAAATAAAAAAAAAAATAGTTCGTTATTTTTCAATTTTATAAACTTCAACCTTTCAACAATAAAAATTCAGATTTTTTGAAACTATTTTACAGAAAAATGTTTAGTATAGTCAAAATCAAGGTTTAAAAAAGCGTTAGACGTATTGAGGCGGTTTCCTATATGTGAAGCGAGGCAAATGCACTTTTGGCGTAAGCCTCAATTTGCTTGAGAAAAATTCTTTTTTTTAGAAAAAGATTAAAAACAATGAAAATAAACTGAAGTAAAATCATTCTTTCGTTAGAAGTTCTAAAAAAAATCATAGAATTTCCTTAGTTCCACAAATTCGAAATAAACATGGTCACATAAGTCATAACCCATCAATCATCGCCATTGTCACTAAAACTAGTGCTACTATTAGGATCATCGAGGGAATCATCCATGAAATTCAATTCAACATCTTCTTCTTTGCTTTCCTCCTCGCATGTAGAAAATCCTCCTCATTATCATCAATTGGAATTTTTTTACCTAAAGGAAATATAAAGTAGAAATAAAAAAATAAAAAAAACTTATTCAAATTAATATCCTATACCTTTGTTTTTCTTCTTTCTCTTCTTTGTATGTTGAAGTACTTCACTTTCTTCAAGATCTTTATAGGCCTCCACCTCATGATCTTGGAGCTTTGAGATCCATTCATTACCATAGTCTACATTATCTAAACAAAAGAGATCTTTAATTGTTTTCTTCTTTAACTCCCTGAATTTTTGTTTCAAATTGAACATAATTTTAACCAAATCATTGAGTTTCGCTTGCTTCAAGCAATTTCTTATCTTTGTATACACCTATTTATTAAAATATTAAAACTCAGTAACATAAAAATTGAAAACACAAACACTTTATATTATTATTTGATTGAAGGAACTCCGATTCCGTTCACATCCAGAAGCACTGCAAGTCGAACTCAAGTTTCTAATGGCAAATTTTGCTAGTTCAGGGTTTAATCTTAAAAAGCTCTCTACCATTCGCTGAAAATATTAATGATATTTTATTAAGTTAACAAAAAATAATGGTTGAGATGTGATCCCATATTGAGTTCATCCTCTGGTTTATCAACAAATAAAACAAAAGATATTATTACTAACATACTAAAAGTAGTGAAAACACACACCTGGGCTTCTCTTCTTCCTCGTTTTTACTGCATTTTCCTATCCAAATAAACTTTGTGCATTTCATAAAGAACCAATCTGCAAATCCAATTTTTCCCTTTCTTCTGAATCAGCGATCAATCGCTCCATGCAAGAATAAAGTCCCATTTTATTCTCATAATGAGTAGAGAATGAAGGTTCATATTGAAAATGAGAATTTAGAAAATATGCAGCAGCATGTAAATGCGTGTGAAGCTGACAATCCCACCGACTATTCACAAATCCTAAACAATCTGATACTTTTAAAAAATCATTCTTTAGATTTCGAGCAATGCTCTGTCCATAGTTTCGTAAATAAATCCCATTAGTGGATATT